AAAACTTCAAGAACACGGCCACACAGCCCGGAAGACCCACACCAGCCACCCAATCTAAGAGAATTGGAAAGTCCCAAGTCCTACCTACTGGGATTGGAGAAGGAAAGAAGATCTTAATGGCAATGAAAGGAGACTATTCTTTACCAAGCCAGAAAAAGTAAAATAACTCAATTTACTGTAACTGTAAGAAGGGTGTACAGAGTTTTTTGCATTTGCTTTAGCACCACTTGTAATTGTACTGTCTTTTGCCACATTGAAGGCATAATTTACTTTGAATAATAGTAGAGTTGTTACCTGTCATAAATAGAATAACAACTCTTAGGTTCTCTTGCTGTGTGGTGTTTTATCATATGGGCTAGTCTGCTCACTGTCTTATGAAGATAAATTGGCCTTGTATTTGAATGACACCATTAGTTAACATTCAGATTTTTAGACTGGTGTCTTTCCACTCACCATCTTAAGATGCCAGGTTTGAATCTAAGACAGCATGTGAAGTATATGCTCAGTTTTGACCCATGGCTTCTCTTCCTACATGTGAAAGTCTTACTGTTTTCTTGACTAGATGTTCTGAGCAGAACTAGGTTAATCCAGAATCTTATAGCATCCAGATACCTAGTCAGAGGATCTAAAACATCTCCTGTTTGGCCTAGAATTTGGCTCATGTTTGGCAGAGGAGCAAATTCAAAGTTGTGCTTACAGTTTAGGTGTTGAATTTATATTTAATTTCTCTCTTCCTCTCTCCTCCCCTGCCCCCCAACCCCAGACTGTGAACCAGAAGAAGTGACTGACTGGTCTATGGATGAAAAATGTTCCTTTTGTAATTTGCATAAAGAAATAGTCAGTGTAAGTATATGTTCTTTTAACTCTTGAAGTCACACATTTTCTCTAAGTTTTCCAAGTTTATTTAAACTGTTGTGCTATATAAAACATTTGATAAATATGTAGTTATATAATGGGATTTTTTTCTTGCTCACCTCTTTTAAGATTTGCTTTTACTTAGATCAGTGGGGTTTCTTTATACATTTTAGGATCCTACAGCAGTTCTTGGTTCTTTGCAGTCAACGCCTACGGAGGAGCTGTCATCTCAGGGCCAGTCCAACACTGATAAAATTGAGTGCCAAGCAGAGAATTACCTAAATGCACTCTTTCGCAAGGAAGGTAATGCTTGACTTCAGTTGCTATTGTGATATATAGTGCTCAGGCAGAAATTCTACATAAGTCTCACCTTTGTTTTTCTGACTTTTTATTCTGCTTTGTTCTCTAGCTCTAGCTTAATTTCTGTAAGTTATTTTGCAGTTGAAATCGCTTTTCTCTAATTGAGCTCTTTATATGTATTTAGTTGATGAGGAAATTGATTTTTTTTAAGGGGAAAAAGCTGGTTTATTTTCTAATTTCTTAAAATCTTGTAAGATTTCAAGTAATTTAAGCTAAGCACTAGTTTAGTACAATATTGTACAGCTTCCATGCTCTTGTGCTGCACATGGGTAGTATTTTAGAGTGCAGTGAAGGAGAACACACAAGACGTCTGTGTCCCTACCTCACAGAAGACTTGCAGGAAGCATATGTCCAGCTCTAAAGGCAGTTGTTTCAGATCAGCCCACAAAGAAAAATACTCATTTTTTGGGCGGTGGACAGTGTTTGGAGGTGAGGGGTATGGAATTAGGATTCTGTCTGCAAACCTGGTTCTGGATATGAACTTGTTTCTCTTTTAACTTTGAGATGCAGTGTCCTTTGATTGAGCTTGAGTTGTAAGTGAAGCAATGTTAGATTAGCTGGATCTCAAAATGCTATATTTTGAACTTGACAGTTTTCTTCTGCAAGCATGCATGTTAAAAAAAACATAAAGGTGATTTACCGACATAGACACTCAAAGGAGGATGTAAGTTTCTTTATACTGTACTCTGTTAGCAGTGGGCTGGTTAGTGGGTTCTTGTTGTGGTTTTGTTTTTTACATAAATGCTTTTGGAATTAATCCCATAGCATGACATTATGGGGTAAAAAGATAGAACCAAATCTGTATAAATAGTTAGGAAAAGGCCATAGAATATTTGTAGGGCTTTTACTCACAGATTAGACGTAATATTTTTTCTATATTGATTTCTACATTTTCTATATTGATTTCTGCATAAGAAACATCTCAGACTCAAATGCTAGTACTTTCTCCCCTTGGAGGTTTGAAGGTGTAACATTATATTCTTTTTAGAACAAGAAAACAAAAAACTATTTATTTGTCCAAGAATTTTACATTTCAAAACTGGGGTTAGTTTATATTGTATAGCTACCAGTTCCATGTAATTTTTACATTTTGTTATGATGTCAGCTGATTTGTTTTTTTATTATATTTTGCATAATACTTTGGTAGAAGAGTAGAAAAAATATAGCCATCCAGTGAACTTAATTAGGATTTTTGAGAGCCATACACTGGGTGGTATGCATAGAATGCACCCTCACCAGAAAAAAAACTATGAAGTTGCTCCCTAATATTTGCTAATGGCCTCAGAATCCTTTCTACTATTCTACCTTTCCTTTGTTGTTTGTCTGGGTAAGTGAGCATCTTTCCCAGCAAAAAACCAGGCAGTATCTCCCCTCTGTTTTACTCTTTTAAGGCATTCTTGGAAATCTTTAAATACTCGTTCTGAAGCTGGATGTGGAGCTTGGTGAGCACCAAGAAAGTCTTCAGGGGCAAAAGGGAGCTATGTCTCCCCCGCTCTCAACTGCTACTCAGGGACAAGTGTTATATTAAATGTGAGATCTATTAGAGCAAAATTTGCACTTTGTAAAAATAAGAGTATTATAAGATACCTGCTACAGGATAAACTTAATTAAAGGTATGTAGGCATTTATTCTAATATGTATGTGAATGATGCTCTTTTCTTCCCACAGATCTTCCTCAGAACTGTGATCCTAACATTCCCCTAGTTGCTCAGGAATTAATGAAAAAGATGATCCGTCAATTTGCAATTGAATATATTTCAAAAAATAGTAAACTGCAAGAGAATCGAAACGGTTCGTCATATGAAATGAGTCTGATACGTAAAGATATCCAAATGAACCAAACCGAAAATCCACTTCAGGAAGAACAAGATAGCCCTCTAGACCTCACTGTGAATCGAACACAAGAGCAGGATGCTCAGCAAGGTAATCATTTTGAGTTGTTCATTTGATATTGTTGAAAATGAATGTTATATCTGAAAACAGTGTTGAAAATTTTGTTACTGCTGATAACTTGCTCTTAGAATGTCTATTTTGAAAACCTAGCGATCATAGAGTGTATGTTTTACAACCATGGTTACTCTGTCCGTGAATGTATGGATATGAATTTAGTGTATGCGTTCTTTTGCTTTGCTGACTGAATCTGAAATGATTGGTGACTCTAGGGATGGGATGGATTGTTTCCATATCTTTGCAGTAATTGCTGAAGCAGTGAAATCTCTGTTAAACACAGTTGTTACCATTTTGGAACCAGTTCCTGCAGAGGCAATTGCCTCTGTAGGGAGTCTTTCATTTCTTCATCAGTTCTTTCATTTGCTGCATATCCTCTCCCTGACATCAGTGCAGAAATGGAATGCTAGAGTATCTGCTACCTTCAGGAACAATGGCAGCATTTTATTGCATAGAGTTGCTGGGAAATGAAGGGTTCTCCTGCACTTCTGGTTGGTAGAATAGATCTTTTTTCTGTCATAAGTCTCTTCTCATGACAAGGGAACTAGATATTTAGGCTTTTGCTCCTGTGCATAGCCGTAGGTCCAGCTCCCTGTTGTGAACTCCTCTGGATACATAATCCCAGCAAAGCAGCTGTAGAGAGTGTCCCATAGCCTATTGTATCAGATTCTGCAATTGCTGCCTCGAATGGCAGATTATTTTTAAGATAAAAGGGAAATGTTGTATGACCAGTCCTGATTTGCTTCTCTGAAATCATGCATTCAGCTGCTTGGCTCCCTAGATCCTCTTCTGGCAAGCAGTGAGAATCATTTAGGTGTCTGCTCATGGACAGTTGCCAACAACTAGAGGCAAGTGGCAGATTACAAGACTGAGCTACAGTGCTACTGCTAAATGGGCTGTCAACAAATGATTTCTCACCCATGATTCACAAAGTAGTTGCAAGCATCCACCTTTCCAGGAACTCTTCTTTTGGCAAGATGATAAAAAATCCAGAGAAAGAAGATGGAAGAAAATGTGGCCACTATGTTAGTCATACTTTTAGATAGAGTGTTATAAGAATCTGCAGCCTGTATCTCTGCTCAGTCTTATTGCAGTCTGTCATCATCTGAATTCATGACCCATAAAGATTTTGACCACAGGACTTTCAGGTGCTAAAAAACCTTTATAGATCATTTATGGGATGCTTATATTTTCTGGCAAGATAACTCAGAATTGAATGGAATTTGGAATATGACAGCATGCAGTTTCAAATCCTTTGAGATTCATTGTTTGACATTCAAATATCTGCTAAAATAAGACTATTATGATATTGTAGCTGCCCTTAATTCCAGATAAGTCTCTTGTGAGTTGAAAGCATTGAAAGATTGAACATGAGCAGAATGCTTTGGTAGAGGCTACTACAACTTGTTCCTCACTTGTTCCTATCAAGTATCTTTTGAAAACATTGTTAGAGGAGACAGACTATCTCTGCTTATTAAATCAGGTTACTTGCACCTCAAGGGTAGCTAGAAAACTTCATTTTATGTATACATTTCTTTTCTATATGAAAAGCAAAGAATATTATTTAAAATGGAAAGTTTTCTTTAATTGTTTTTCTTTCAAACTATGAAATGTTATGATTGAATTCCATGTAATGAATCTGTTTATTCACTTAACACTGCTGGTTTTTGTTTTTGTTTTTTTCTCTTTTTCCTTTAAGTGCTTTGGTGTAAAACTACAGAGCTTTTCAGTGCAACCTGACCATCAGCAGAAATGACCATTCCACCTTGTTCTGATGAGTCAGCTTTACCTTAGGAAGTGTGTTCCAATCAAACTACTCCATCTTGCTGATATCAGTAGATGTGTATTGTTGCCAAGAGGATTTCCTGCCTGAGCACTGAACACCTTTCCTCATTTGTTTAAAACAGAGACCAGGAGAACAAACATTCCAGCAAACTGCAGCCTTCTTGCCTGCTGGTCATCAAAGGAGTTCTTGCTCATCCTCCTTTTTTTGGCTCCTCAGATGGGCAACTTAATGCTTGGCAGGCTTTAGAACTATGGAGATTGAGTTTCTTGGAATTCGAAAGCAACACCCTAAAGATGGCTCCTTCCTGGGTTGGCAATCTCTCTGCTGATCCACTTTTAGGAGGGAATATAGTTTCCCTAAATGCTGTCCAATTCTTTTATGCTATCTGGGAATTTTAAAAAATGCATCAAAATGTGATTTGGAGTTATAAAAATGTACGTGTCCCTTGTTTTCATTCAGCCCTAAACAAAGTAGTTTGGAAAATAAAGGCATGTACGGATTTATTGTTTGGGAACTATATGTGCCAGTAACGGTGTTACTATCAAATAGCCAAGATTTCTGATGCCTGCCAAAGGTTTTCCCCAATCCTAATACATTTCCCTTTTAAAATCCTGCACTTTTTATTAATGTGGGATTAACTTTTTAAATCCCTAATTGTATTTGAGTTCAAATTAGTACTGCTCTAACCTTTTAACAAATTTCACACCTAGGTATCAGAATACCTTTTAATTCAGCTGTTTCCATTTGTGCCTGCCCAAATTCTAAACTTATCACCACCATTTTATACCTGTGGCTGCTTTTAGGATTTCGTATATGCATTTGCAATTTCTTACTGTGTTTGAATTTTTTCTGTTAAGTTTTCTTAGCAGTATATTTGGAAGAGAAGATAAAATACATGCATTCTTTGAATATAGAAAAGCATGCAGAAAAATATGCAGCTTCACATCTTAATGTAGTCTCACAAACTAAAAATGTTGAAAATGTTCAGTAGGGAGTATGGATGGGAGAAGTTGAGGAACAAGCCACATTTTACAACCCAGAACTACCCTTGAATCCAAACATCTTATATGGTACATCTTTCATATTAGATGGGTTTGAATCCTATTTTTAGTTTTGTTTTGTTTTTTAATTGTGATCAAAGGTGAGACTCATAATCAAAATAGGCTTGCATGCGTAATCATATGTAAAATAAGTTGTAGAATACTGTCAACTAGATTCAGTGTTGTGATTTGATTATTTAATTGCATATTAATTGGAATTATTTAAATTGTACATCTTATTTAATTGAAATTATGCAAAGAATGGCTTAGATGATTTATAGTGTTAAATTGTTTTGGACCATATGCACATATGAACACACTATTAAATTTTCCTTCTGAGTCCTAGTTGTCAGAAAAGAATATGAAACATAGAAACAAAGTTCTCTTTACAGGCAATGTTCATTTCCATCAAAGAAGAAGGTGAAATCTTTTGTATAGAAAATCCTCATTTCTGCTATATTACAGAAATCAATTATATGTTATTGTAAGAATTTGTTCCATATAGTTACCTCAAATAGAATAGAATTTTTTCCTTGAATTGTCTTTTGGTAATACCAGAAATTAACAATAACGGAAACTTACCATACTGTGACCTGATCAAAGATTCTAATTCATTATTAATACCTGACATTTTAGGGAGATAATTTTTTTTAATTTTCTGATTGAATGAATCTTTTTGAAATTAAGGCATCATCTTGATCACCAAAGAGCCACTTTGAAAAATGAGAAATATTTACAATTCTCAGCTATGGGATTTTTTTAAAAAAAGATATCTGCATCAGTGTATATAATCCTATAATAGGTCCTATAATAGGAGGGAGCCATTTTTGATTGTGTGCCTGTTGCTTAATCTGAGTTATCACTGTGTAATGCTGGTTGTTAAAGGTATCTAATTATAGTTATATCTCCCAGTGCTTTTGTTCTAAGATTTGGCATTCGACATGAGCCGTTGGAATATTCCCACAAGCAGAACTACTCTTATCTATCACTCACTCACATTTATATAGCTGCCTATCTCAACAAAAAGTGACTCTTTTAAATCCTGGAATTGACGTTTCCTGGTCCAAAAGTTTTTAAATACAGGGAAGTATTCAGAAATGGCAAAATCATGTTCTAGTCTGATGTAATTCAGACTCTACAATGTCATTCTGCTGTATATCATTGATTTATTTAGTTTTTAAGTGCTCTCTTGCTACCAGCAAGAACAAAAAAGTCAAAAGGACCAATATTTTCAGCTCTGAAATTGATGTTATAGCATTAATACCAGGCACCTGCAGAATTCACAGACCAGTTGAAATGAAAAAATAGTGAGTGCTTGTAATAATAGTGCTGGCATCATCCATGAGCTGCATAGTACAAGGCATGAAAATTGATGCATAGCATGGGAGTGTCTTAATAGTTGCCCTATGTCATTTTGTTGTTGATAATAGTATGAGTATGTTTTTTAATCTTACATGCCCCATTTTTATAATAGGGGATGGAGTGCTAGATCTCTCTACAAAGAAAACAAGCTTGGAACAGTCACAGTATGATGGGTCGTGTTCTGAAAATTCATTGTCTGGGTAAGCATGACCAGCATTACTCTGCTTTATTTTAAGGGGAGTAAGTGGAAGTAAGACATAAAAGTGAAGGTTTCTTTTGTAATTGACTTGTGTAAAATGTATGTTGACACACTCTTCTTCCTTGCTTATGCCAGGGTTTCACTCATAATTGTGTGTTTGTGTATAACTCATATAATTCATTTTGTGTTTTTCACTTTTTTCTGTTAAAGAAAAGTTATCAGAACAATCACCAAACTTTAGTTCATGTTCCTAAAAATAAAATAAAATGCTTATGTACATAGTGTAATTAGGAAATTAAGTAATAAAAGAGAAACTATTTGATATGAGTTTAAACCTTTCCCATTGGAAAAAGAAAAATATTTTACATTTTAGTAGATTTTGACAGTTAGAAAAAAGTTAAAGCAACTATAATTTTAGTGCACCCTAAAATGAGAGAGCTCTTGCATTTTGATTTTACTATGGTATGTGGTGTCATGCTGCTGAGATACCATTTTTGAATGGTTAATGTACTGCTGTAATAAATATTTACTGAAATTACATTGAAGTAACATATGTTATAATTCTGGCATCTTTCCAGTCATAACAGTCACTTATCATTTGTGCAACAGAATTATTCCTTTGCAAAAAAAAAAAAAAAAACCCAGAAAAAACTGCTTGCATTCCGTATCTGTCTCTCCCTCTTCCTTTCTCCCCCTACTAGTCACACACACTTCTAACTTTACTAGAAATTAGAAATAGTATTTAGGACTTTAATTGCATTAAAAAGACCTACTTGGATGTTTTAAGGTTTTTTTTTTAATAGTTATAAACAACGTTTCTATAAGGGGGTTGACTCTTTTATTACTTGTTTAGCGGTAACGTCACGTTTCTACTAACAAAACTCCTTTAGGATGGGGACAGTCAATGGATGTTAGATTGTGAAAAGAGAAGTTTTAAGTGTTACTCTGCAAGCATCTGTCAGAAGGGAATTGAAAACAGATTTAAAGTTCTTGGAAGGGCTGTTCTAGAAGCTGGGCTATCATTTTCTCACATGGTCCTACCAGAACTCTAACTTTTGCTATGGTAATCAGTAGCTACCACAACTCAAAGCCTTAAAAGTGTCAGAAGCAGTGATGTTACCTAAGCAAGGAGTATAATAAAGGAGTGGACCCTTCCCTTCCATAGCTGTGTGAGAGTCTCTCATGCATCAGTTCACCATCGTTTCATTCCATCCATCCAGGAGACTCCACAGACACAGAGAGGACTTTGTGGAAAGAAGTGCTGAGTTTGCAGATGGTTTGCTCTCAAAAGCCTTGAAAGACGTTCAGTCCGGAGCACTGGACATTAATAAAGCAGGCATCCTTTATGGCATACCTCAAAAAACTTTACTTCTCCACTTAGAAGCCTTACCAGCAGGAAACCCTGCGCTCTTTAAAAACAAAACTCGAGATTTCAAGGACACCTGTTCTTACAAGGACAGTCCAGAGACTTGTGCCGTGCTGCAAAAAGTAGCCTTGTGGGCAAAAGCTCAAGCAGAGCGCACAGAAAAAAATAAACTTAGTCTACTTGAAACCTCAGAATTAAGATTCCCAACAGCTTCCAATTACCTCCACCAATTAACTTTGCAAAGAATGGTCACTCAGTTTAAAGAAAAAAATGAAAGTGTACAATATGAAATGTCAGCTCCAGCTGTACAATTAAAAATTCCTCAGCTAAGGATCAGTGCTGTTCCCAAGCAGCATGAGAATGCTGGACTTCTGGATGTCATGTACCACGTTTCCAAAACCTCATCAGTCTTAGAAGGATCAGCTCTTCAAAAATTGAAAACTATATTCCCCAAACAGAGCAAAGTGGAATGTTCTGCATCTGTAACTCCCTCAAGTTTGGACACCTATTTTCTGCATGGGGACCTCTCTCCTTTGTGTCTTAATACTAAGAATGGCATTGTTGATGGCACCTCCGAATCCACAGAAGACGGCTTAGACCGTAAGGATAATAAGCAGCCAAGGAAAAAACGTGGTCGCTACCGGCAATATGATCATGAAATAATGGAGGAAGCTATCGCAATGGTAATGAGTGGAAAGATGAGCGTTTCCAAAGCACAAGGAATCTATGGGGTACCTCACAGCACTTTAGAATACAAAGTTAAAGAGAGATCTGGAACTCTGAAGACACCTCCGAAGAAGAAGCTCCGATTACCAGACACTGGGCTGTTCAATATCACAGATTCAGGGACTGGCACCTGCAAAAACAGCAGCAAGCCTATGTAGTTTAATTCGTTAGAAACTGTGTGTGTGTGTGTGTGTGTATGTGTGCGCGCACATGTGTGTGCACAATGTGTGTAAGCATATACGTGGGAGAAACAAATGTTCACTTAGAAGAAATGACATTTTACAGTTCAGAAACCACATACATGCCTTTTTGAAGAATAATTTTATTCAGGGTTTTCACTGTGGACAAAATGATAGAATTGATCACAATTGTGATAGTTTGTATTTAATATAATCCTTGTACAAATAAGTGAAAAAGATTCAGGTTTTATTTAGTCGTCATTAGCATAAAATGTTGGGAACAACATCTATTTGTCATGTGAAATATTACTTTTACTGATGAAGATTGACCCTTGCCATTCAGTAATCCATCTTATTAAGGAAAGACATGATTCGTGCTTTTAGGACATTTATCCTCTCAAAATATTTTCAGAAGCTGCTCGTAACTGAAAATAAGCAAATCAAGGGAAGAGGACAGTTAATAGTTTCTTACTGTGGAAACTGATATGAAGTATTAGTTAAATCTAGACAATGGAAAAGAAAGTACATCAGAGCCTAACATTGGATATAAAGTAAATATTTCATTTTTAAAAGCGTGTGTTAAGAATAAAACTGGGTTGTTAAAATTTTATTGTTGGTTTAGCAAGAAATTGGTGTTTACAGAATATATGCTTGTAAAAACTGACAAATTTAGTTGTAGCTATAGAATAACTATTAAACGAGATGGAATACTAAAGGCATACATAACATGGTTTCCCTTTAGTATGGAAAATAAGCTAACTTGTAAGGGTTGAAGAAGAAAGTTGGAATGCATATTAGAGCATGTTTCATAATGTGCACAGAATGAGCTTGAGAATGGTTGTTTTTGATTTAAGTGTGCTGGTAGTTAGTTGGTTTTATGACTACTTACATTTATTTAAGGATTGTTTAACACTCCTACTGAAAAACCTCACTATAACAGTAATGTCTTTGCTGCTGTGACATTTCAAACCTTTTTCAGTTTATCAAAATGAATATCAGGTTTTCATTTTGGTGGGCCGATACATCATCATTTTGCTAATAACCAAATCTGCAGTTCAGGGTCTTGAAAGAATTGCCGATAAAAAAACAGTGAAACTGTTTTGAACTTTCAGTACTAGAAATTCTTTGTATATTTACTATTTGGAAGCTGGGCATTTCATTTTAGAGATATATATATATATATATTAAAAAAAAACTTTTCATAGAAACTCAGAGGACAGTTCTTTATATTACAGTTTTTAAATGATCTTCAGATAACTCATAATTGGGAATGATCCTTCTCACAGAGAAATCCAGTAGGGTTCATAAACAAATGTGCTCTCCTAGAAGATGTGCTCATGGACCTCCCAGCTTCAAGGGGATTCAGAAGTTTGCATGCACTTCTTGTATTTCTGGGCAACTGCACTCCTCATTCAAGTTATATAAGTTCTGGCGTTTGTGTTAACTTGATCCAAAGGAGTGGGAAGAAAGTCAGACAAACATTCTTGCAGTTCCTAAGTTGACTGATTGACTGATTGATCATAGGCTTCAGTGCATCTTTAGTTAGGCAGGAAAGGGAGCAATACATTTCTCTGGAGCTCTACAGCAATTTCACTGTGTGTGAGCAATTGCTCACTAGAAGGATCATACTCATTTGATTTTATATACTACATACCTTTGGTGTCCTTTCCAACCATATCTACATATGAATGAAGACATCCATTTTTCATTGAAAAAACTAGATTTCTATGGGGAAGGTTAAGATTTCCAAAAGTGTTATCTTTTTCCCATATATGGATGACTGAATATATTTAACCTACACTTAGTATAAGAGTTCATTATTTAGATACTGTGAATTGTACCATCTACATTCACATTTGATACTTTTTGAAGCATGTCATTCAACTTAGTTGGTAATTTCAGAATAGACTAGGAAGAGATTTGGCCCCTAATAAATTGGGGTTACTTACAGAATGAAAGAAATGCAACCATGGAATCAGTTCATCAACTATTTAGATGATCTGTGCTGAATCTTCTTCAGCTCAGCTACATGGGAAACAAGTCCTTGAAAAATAAAAAGTTGTACCACAGATGAGATTATCATTCATCGAGGTCATCCTTAATTTTAAAGAACTAAGCCATATTTTCATCAGGATTAAGATTATTCATTAATTATATATTTCCCCAGTAGAAAACAAGATTTCAGGTTTTACTTGGAGGACTGCTAGGACCTGTAGTTCATTGCTTCATATGTGGACTTGGGATACAAAGCTTTTCCATCCAACTTCCTGTTGCAACTCGTACTTCCCCCCAGACCTCTTCCTGAAGGTTATGAGATGAGAATAGGGTGAGCAGGTAGGGTGGGAGAATGCACCCATTCAAGAGTGGGACCTGTTTGTTCCCAGTCTTTTTTTAATGTTTCAGACAATATTAAATCCATGTCTATATCAAAGGCAAATTGCAGTACTCTTAATATCATTTAAATGGTGGCCTGACCAAAAAGTAACAGGATTCATAAAATCAGGGATCATTTTGCTATTGACTTTAACGGTGGTAGTTTTGTATGTAATATTATAATTAATTTTCAGCATTTTCGTACTTGTATTTATTTTTGGCCGGAAATAGTATATTAAAATATTTTTTGATAGTTTGTAGATAATGTTCAACCTGTAAGTTTTAAAAAGAAACGTTAATTATTTCTAATGAATAGGCTGAACCTTTGATTATACAACTGAGGAAAGGCAGGGAAATACATTAACTCCCCCCACATCCGCCCCAATGTATCCATTTAAAAGGCTATTTAAATTATAATTTTGAAGTACTTTTCAAATTCAGTTACCAGTCGCTACTTAGAAATTGACAAGTTTCTGAAAATTCATATTTCAGTAGACTTTTAAATGAAGGTGAAAGCAAGCCCTACTTGCTTTCTACTTATTTGAATGTTTCTCAAGTATTTTATATTAAAAAAAGAAAAAAAAAACAGTGCCTCTGTTTTTAGAACTACTGCTCAGTAAATTGTTTAAACCATTTCTGGTAGCTAATGACTATTTTATATTAAATTAAATTGTATAATAACTTTAGTGAGACTGATTTTTTTTTAGTTGTTTACAGTACAAATACCTGTATTTGTGTTTTGTTTTTGTTTTAAATTGCAGTATTTCCATTGTTGCAGTAATTTAGTAAAACTCTGTGGCTGCCTTGATTTTTGACAGATTTTGTTAATAACTGATATCTAGGCAATTAGTTCTATTTATGCATAAATCAATTGCACTATAATTCATGAATTATTTATTACAATATTTTCTAATGAATTCCATGTATTTGTCTTGTGTTGTACATGTACTGTAATTCTGTTTCCTCTTTGTGTTGTTATATTTCCAGATCTGATTGTATGAATTTGTTAATGTGTTTCTATGTTGTAATTTTTAGTAAAGCACTTCAATGCTTTTGCACATAAATTTACAACACTGATGTGTGATTGATTGGTCATTCAGTAAAAGAAAAATACTTCAAGTTGGCTTATTTGATTTACTCTATGGGCATAATTTTATTGGTAAAATGAGAGCGTAGACTGAAATATTTGATATATTTGATACCAGGAGAGATACTTAATAGTTGAAGTGCTACTCCTTTGCACATCCACACATTTCTTTGTGCAGGGAGACTTAATGGATTGTGCCCATGGGTTGTTAGGTTTAAGGGATTGTAGCATTATAAATAAATTATGTTCCATCAATTCTCATTTGCAGACTGCACAGTTCAAATGAACCTCAGTTTCCAGGACTTCAGAATTTTATTTAATTGTAGAAAATATATTAATAAACACTGATTCCATTTAATACCTTTATAATTTTTCACTATCATGTAGAAAAGGAAAAGATTACAAAATTTGAACTCTTGGTACATATGTACTACAGTATATGCATGTCTGCTAAGAGTGCACTGAGGTTCAGTTTTATATAAAAGAACCTTAAGGACATTTTGGCAAAAGGCTCAGCATTTCCATTTATGCATTATGCATTTTTTGTCCAGAGTGTATCATTATTTGCTTTTCTTTCCACAATCTTTTTCACTGAGTAGATGCACTTTTTCGAAATCAATCCTTACCTTTTGGGACCCAAATAATATGGAATGTGCCTTTCCTGTGTACTCCTGATTTTTAGAAACAGAAGGGAAAAAATCAAAATAATTTTAGGCATATGGATGTAGGAAAGCTACATACATAATTTAACTGTATGCTTTTTCCTCAAGCAAATCTAATTTGATTCACTGTCTGGATTTTATTGAGTATATCCTGAAACCAAGATTACCTTGCAAATATATTATTTCAGAATAACCTGGTTTCAGGCAGCATGAGCTAATGCTATATAAATGGAATGTGTAAGAGAAGAACAAGAACCTATTTTTGCTAATAATTTGATAAGTTATTTGCCAAGATAATTACAATGCATGAGGAGAGGTAATATTTTTAGGGAACAAACAACAAATGGGAGTTTCAATTCCTTCTTTCTTTGAGAAATTTTCTCTCTTAATTGAGATTCCCCACAACTGGCCCTATTCCTAATTTCAGAGCCTGGGGAGAAGCAAATCCATTAAAAGATAACAGGGAGGCAAGTATGAAAGAGAAGTGGGAAGAGGTTGGAAATACCAAAAATAAGTCACGGTGCACTGATTCTCTCAATCCTTTATCTTGGTGTTAAGTCTTAGCACTGGTGGCTATGAGGGAGGTTGGACAGGGTAACTTCACTGCCTTTCCTGATAACCTACCCAGTGCAATTAAGCATCAAAATAGTAGTAGTAGTACCTATTGTAGCAAGTAAATCTTAATAAAGATTGTGAAGGGTTAGGGTTACTTGTGTTACTGAAGAGAGATAAAGGTCACCTTCCATACCAAAATCCCCGCATACTGTGAACACGGTAACTATACGTGCAGAGATAATAGCAAGATTTGTAATTTTTGCCTGCAGGGTTTTTACCAAATTGTTTCTCTAAGCCCACTTTGCAGGACTCTTTATGGTCAGTATTTCCATTGCAAAGAAACTTACTGTGTAGATGAAGTTGCCCTTTGAAGGATCACATCATTAAACCATGTAAATGCCTGTTGTGTCGTCAGATTAGCAGTGGCTCATCAGCCTCATGGATAGAAGCCCGAGATACCTTAGCTTGAAATAACAGATATTAAATCAGACTTTACATGGATTTCCAGAGACCTAGTGTCGGTGTTGGGTCTTTAATTGCCTGCATGTTAATTGGCTTTTTCAGAAAGGCACAAATCACAACAGTCATTTCTTTAACTTTGGATCCCTGATCTATTACTATTATGTGGTTGTAATTTTGGAGCATATTTATTTCACTTTATTGCTGGGCTAATGGAAAGAAAGCTGGGGATGGAGTTATTCTGAAGTGTAGGGCTGTGCTGTGCAATTTGTGAGAGGAAGCTAATACTTGTGTTACATGATATAAAAGAATATGTGTGTATATTGGGTCAACGCCCTCCTCCCCTTGTATCTGATGAAATTAGAGCTGTAATTACTAAATCTAGAAGATTAATACTATAGTAAGAATAGTGTGTCATGTTCAGAGTTTGGTGATCTGTTTGAAATACATTACTTTTCTGAAACAGAATTATGTATTACTACATTTAAGAGTATTGATAGGCATTAATATTTGAGGTTGCATTGTGCAATTTTTGTTCTTAAGTCAATATTTACTTTTTGCTATGAACAATTAACTTTTCAGTTTGAATTAATGACTTGGTAAGTAGTAACAACTTTTAATACTTTGTAGTTGGAATATTTCAAGCAGTAGGTGTTGTAGGTGAAATCTTAGTTATATTTAACTATGCCCTGATTTACTTTTAAAGGGAGATACACATATACACATAGTATATGTGTATGTGTGTGTGTGTGTATAAATATGTAAATCACTATGTGTGTATAGTTTTCTTGTAAACGAAAATATATACAGACCTCTATTTTATTGACCAAGTATTATATTGGCTTTCAGATGGCAGCTGTGCCAATAAATACGTTATATATTATAGTTTGTTAACCTTGTCCTTCAAGTTCCTGGGAAGCCCACTTGGGTTAAATTCCAGTTATACACAAGTAAAGAGGGACAGGAAGAATAAATCTGTGGCATAGAGTTAAAAAGAAAATGATTCTCTAAGATGGCTTAGTGGTTTCAATTGATTGTTTCAAACCAATTTTTAAAGTTAGTAGAGGACAGCTCTTGGGTCTGTATTTTAAGCAGATTTAGAAAGACTAGACAAGAGACAGATCACATTAAGCACATTTAATTTTCATTAATTTAGTAAAAGAAATACATTAATTTGCTTAATTGTATAGTTATCCTCTAAAATAAACTCAGGAATAAAAGGATATGCTTTTTATTCCATTGTACCTTTCATAGAAAAGCTTCAAAATGGCGTTTACTCTATACATGGACTCTTTTCTAATCCTAATTTCATTATTAAATATAAGGGACTACTCAACAAACTGTCAGTCTCCATAAATATGACACTTAAGTACAAAATTGTGTCTGATACATATGCTGTCATCTCTCTGCTATGTATTTGTCTAGCTCAAAATGTACTTTTAGGGTACAGGGGATTTCTTATTTTAAAGTAGTATTTTTATAAGAGATTTGCCATGTAAGAAGCAATCTGAATCCCTGTTACTTTCAGTATAATTTGCGTATGATTAAAATATGATTAGGATCACAATCATAATCTCTTTATTATATAAATAGTTTGCAGAGTTTTAAAAAGTTTTATTTCCATAGTTACTATTGAAGTAGTAAACAGAGGATGCTCTTGAATGCATTACACAGAAATCCATCTTGCTAAACTTTTTTGTTAAGTTTTTTTTCTTTTTCTTTACAATGCATTTACAAAATTTGAGTGGAAGTGTAACATTTTTTTAATGAGCTTTGAATGATACCATATTTTCATTAGTTTTTATCATATGTTCCATATTTAATTGTAATTTACTTTTTGTTTTGATCTGCTTTTTGTTTTCAGTTCAAGTACAGCTGCTGGTGCAAAACTAGAGGAAACAACTAAATTGGAAAGAGGAAACTCTACTCTAAACAAGGTGTTGGCTTCATTATGCTCGTATCATTGGCATCAGATTTTAGCCATGTTGAAATTTTTCATCCAAGAATCATGTTATTCAGGTTGCAGTAGCCAACTGCCTTACCCTAAATATTCTGAGAGAGAGGAAGATGAGGTGCATGTTCCAGGCTTCAGTTGTGATGACAACGTGCTGATGAAAAGGTGCTGTTTACAAAATGTAAGACCAAATAAGGATTGCTTGACATGTCACTCAGTGGCCCCTGGGTATGTTAACACAGTGGTGAACAAAGGAAATTCTCTGTTTTGCAATCTTCATGGGTGCTGTCCCAAGCAATTACAACTGTGTAAGATCCATTCTACCAGAGCCGAGTTGTATACGTACCTCTTTTCAAGAGAGCAAAAGGTTAACAAAGGAAGCCGAGGTCGCAGCCCTTCACCACCTCCATTGTCTCCTGTGGAAGCTGATGGGTACAATTCTCCGAAGGAATTGGCTGAAGGTTCTATAGCTTTAGATAACAGACTTGAAAAAAATTGTAACCAGCCTCCCTCTCTCTTTCCTGCTGAAAAAAGTTCTGTACACAAACAGAAAGATCAAACATATGTTGCAGAAGTGCCCAGTAACCTGCAGGAAGGCATTCTAAGTGTGAATCAAGAAAATAGCCTTATAATTTCTGATAAGCTTGAAAAAGTTGAAAATGCTGATGCATTTCAGAATTTAATGGATCGAATCAATGAGAAATTGAAATCAATAGAAACTACTGATACAGAAATACTTGCAAAGTTACCTAAGAGTGATGGGAGAACAGAAGCTGATACTAAATTTCGGAGCTTCATTACATCTCTTTTACATGATGCTAAGGCAAATGATTATAATTTTACGGAATTACTGGACCAACATGATAAGGAAATGGAAAGTAAAATTATCCAAACAAGATTTCGTAAACGACAAGAAACTTTGTTTGCAATGCATAGTTCTCCCAATTCATCTCTATTTAGACGACAGTCTTTGCAAATCAAAAGAGAGTTGGCTAGCCTTGATGAAACATTCTTAAGAAAAAAGGCAAATTCACAGAGAAAAGTTAAAAAACATACAAAGAATCACAATTATACTACATTAAAAGAGCTTGATTTGCAAAGTAATGAAAATAAAGAGGGGCCATTTTCTCCTAAGTCAAAGCTTTTGCCACTATGTCAAGAAGAAATGATAGAACTACCTCTCATCAGTTCAGAAATCAATTCTGATTTTGTGGCATTTTCAGCAAACGGCTCTACAACATCTCAAACCATTTTGACTAAAACACACGGAAACTGTGGAATTGAACTACATGTGGATCCAGTTGGTGTGAAAAGAGATAATGATAGAGGCCTGGAGAGGACCAGGCATAATGTTTTCTCTCCTAGGTGGTGCTCTTTGTATGTAACAAACAATTTTTTATTAAAAAAAAACACAAAATCAAAATCTACTGCTAGCATGGAAAGGGATAAAATGCTCAAAGATTTTCAGGCTAGCAATGAAAATATAAATAAGATTATGCAGAAAACCAATCTACATGTTGTTGTAGAGCGTTTGGAAGATACAATAAATATGGCTCAAAAGTCCGCAAAGCCCATGTGTAATGGCTATAAAATATTGGGCAAAGTGAAAGACCTTCAAAAGTCTGATGCCAACAATAAATCTAAAAGTGGCCTTCTTATTAGCATGAGTGAAACTGGAAGTAAGGGACAATATGTGTTATCACAGAGTCATTTACCATGTAGAAATAGTAACAAAAATGAATGTGTGCCAAAAAAAGAAAATGTATCTTATGAAGAATATGAAAGACTTTTGAAACCCTCAACTTTAGATTCAAACATGTTGACTTTGAATAAGGAGGAGTCACGGGGAAATTCTCATTTGGGGGATAATTCATCAACACTGAATTACACTAGTCCTATAAAACTTATGTTCCTTTCTGAGATTAATAGCAGTGAAGGAATCAAGTACACACTAACCTCTGTAAATGATTCATCCAAATTAAACATTGATCTTTATTCTCTTCAGGAGAAAACAAACAAGCTGTTCACAAAACAGTTGGAGGCAAAGGATTCTGATGAAAAAGCTTCTATTGATGAATGCAGTTGTAATGGAAATAGAGATAAAAATGAAGTGGGAACTGGTTTTCCTACAACAGTTGCCGCTGAAACCAATCCTAAGCCTAAGGAAGACCCTGTGGAACAAGGCAGCAGTGGATCCTCCCTGAAAAGAAAACCTGGGAGACCCAAAAAAATTGGTCCTCAGGTTGTGAAACAAATTAAGCGACCAATTGGACGACCTCCCAAACCAAAAGTTGATGTGGCTGAAAATGGTAGTGATAGGAGGGACTCCATTAGTGCTGTGAAAAATGCCAACTCTAACACGGAATGCTTAGAGGAGGGTAACATTTACAAAAATATTACAGTGACAGTCGTATTTGGAAGGTCACGAAGGACTAAGAGGTGTGTTTCAGAAGGTAGCCTAAATATAGTTAAAACTATACCAGGACCTCACAGCTACTGCAGTGTTGTACGTGACCCTGATCAAATGATACAGAGCTCAGATGCCAGGAACAATTTGCCAAAAACTAAAAGTATGCAATATTCTACAACAGAAAAGACCTCTGCATCTGGCTATGAGTATGTTAGACCACTAGAAAGCAGCCCTGTGCTACCATCCCATTGCAGCAATATCAGACCAAACCAGAAGCCTTTAAATATAATTAGAAAACCTGGTAGGCCAGCAAAAGTAAAAATATCTGGCATATCAGTGACTGTTAATCAGATTTCATCTCAGGAAAGAAAAGTGTGTATCAACAGCTGCCTTCCTCCCTTAGAACAAGACGCTGTGTCAGGAAGAAATGAGTCACCTACAAAGGATGCTAAGCAATGCAATAGAAGAGATGATTTTAAAAGCCTTTGGAATGATGAAGCAGGGAATTTTTCACCCAAGATTATCATTGCTTCAAAAAAGTCTGAAACTCATTTGAGACACTCTTTTAGAAGACCATCACTGCCTTTTTTACATTCATTAGCATCTTCTAGCTCATTTTCTTGTAAACGTGCCTTTTTACAAAAACCATGTAAACTGTGCTTGAGAAATGGTAAAGATCACAAAATAAAGCATTCAAATACGCCACCCAAACATACCTCAATAAATCTAAGTCCTGACAATGCAAAAAATAGTTCTGAGAATAGTAAACCCAGATCCATTGGTGAAATGACATTGGATCCCATAATTTCATCCAATTCCCTTAGGTGGTGGGATCCTTCCATTTCTAATGATTCTTTGTTAAAAGAACTAAACAGTAGATATGACCAGATAACTAAGACCTGGTTGCATGTGAATGGAGAAGAATATGAGAAATGTCTGTATGACGGAGCACGCCATATTGAACAGGACGGTAGAATTAAAGTATCAAATCCTTTGGACTCTTGCATTTTGGAACTGGAAAATTCACCTATAAAAATGCTTTTCCAGAAGAAATGCAATATAGATGAACTGTGTGCATGGTTTATGCAAACAACAGAAACACAATCACTATCACTAGTCAGAAAAGCAAATGCACGTAATCCTTTTGAAGTAATTAGTACAAGGCAGCTTAAAATGGGAACAAGACAATATGATTGTAATACTAGTCCTTTGAGAAAGCACTTTAAAAAATTTGCACTGTCCACACCTTCAAAGTCAACAGGAAAGTTGCAGCTTCTACATAAAATAGTCAGATCTCAAGTCTTAAGCAGGAAGCATAGCTTCACCTTAACTAAATTAAGAACCAAATTTGAAAACTTGCAACATGATCGATGGCGACAAGTAAAAAAACTGTACAATCATGGAACAGCTGACTGGAAATCAAAAAAGAGAAACTTGCGATTCTTCTGCCAAAGTCAGTGTTTGACTAACGCAAGTAGGAAACTTAACAATAAAATACGTACAAGCCTTGAGAATGGCCCAGTAGAAACTCAACCACCTACAACTTTGTTGGAATCTTACAGAATCGCTTCAGCAACTGGAAATGAAATCAGAGGTGCATTTCTTCAACAAAATGCACAATTGTCTGACCTCAGCACAAAGTGTGACTCAATCTCGATTTGTAGGCCAAGTACTAAATCCACATACGGCAATCAGCAAAATATTGGAAAAGTGCACAGCCCTGATGAATTTAACGAAGGCGCATGGAGAGGGCAAACTTTTAAGGATTGCCGAATATTTTTGAAGAAAATTAATCCCGTGGATGAACAGCATGCTTTTAATAAGAACCTTGCCATCTGTAGTCCAGAGTCTCTGGATCATCGTACCAGCCACAGCTACTGCCCGGAAAAAAAATGTGGTTCTTTGAGGTCCCCCTCTGCTCTGCAGAGCATGACAGATAGGGGTGAAAGGAACAGAGGAGCTTCTAACAGAACCAGGCACTCCAGCTTGCTCAAAGGGCTGCGCATGGAGCAAGACCATAAGAAGTCAAGCAAACGCGTCGCTTTTGAGGACAGCCCTACGGAAACCCCTAAAAAAATGAACAAGCGGAGGAAGATGCAGTGCAAGTTCCCTGAGCTGAATAGAAGGAAGAGGAATAAGAAGCGGTTATGCAGCACTGGCCAAATATCAAACTGTTACTCAAAATACCACCTGGGTAAGTTTCTTTCATCTCCCTCTCATCCCTTGATGAAATTCTATTAACTTTACATTCACATGAAATAATCCAAGAAAAAGCTGAATATAGGAAAACAGTTAAAGGAAAAAAAAAAGGACAACAGTTCTTTAAAACTTCACACTGCTGATCATGCAGCTTAAATTGTGTTTTCCAAAGATTTTCCGTTCATTTTTATTAATACCGCGTTCTGAATAGAGTCCAGAAAAAGTCAGGGGTACCTGGCTGTTTTGATGCCAGAAGAATTTAAAGCACTCAGATGGTTCTCGGCCCCCAAGGCTGCTTTGAGGGGGAAGAGCTCCTTTCCACATCAATTACGGGGGGTGAGGCAACTGATTCTTCCAGTAGCGGTCAGTATTATGCAAAAATTATTACGTTTTGTTACTTACTATTTAATTAATAATTATTATTAATATATTATTATGTTCTCCATTCTGCTGACCCAGGGAAAGATGTTAATAGCACAGAGTGGAAACATGTTCGTTATTGAATTGCATATTCCTAATATTTTTTGGCCTATAATTTAAAAAGAGGGTGAGAAATAGGCTAAGTGCCATATTGACTGAATTTATTATGAAAATAATAGGCTTTCAAAAATGCCTATTATGTGTAGATGGGATGGGAAGTTCATTAAAAAAATACAGAGAGCAAACTTCAGAAACATTACGTTATGCTGAACTGGGGGAGGGGCAAGATGTTTTGTAGTAAAATTTGCATCTTCAAGTGATTAAATTGAAACTAGAACGTTCTGTCCCATGTTTGGCTTAATGATGCTGTTAAATAAAACAATTTAAAACAACAGTGCAAAACATCATGTTGCTTTTGCCTCCAGAGGTGGAAGGCAACAAATGCTGTATGCAGTTGATTGCCTTTTCTTTTTCTTTTTGGAACAGTAGCAGTAGTAGGGTTGTTAGAGAAGGAGATGGGTATTTCAATTTGGACTGTCCTTCAACCACCTTACATTCAAACCCAACTCAGGATCCTCTGTCATGACACGAGATAGCCATGTATTTATTTCTAATGTGTACAAAGAGCTCTCTCATGACTGTCTGTATTTTTTTCAAGGCTAGGATTGTTAGATTGCCACCCAGAGATGGTGCCTCTTTCGTTGAAATCCCTGAAGTATCAACAGGATTCCAGCTCTGTCTTGGTCCCACTGCCCAGCCTCTTCCCCCACTTCAGGGAATTGGGGGGTCAAGAGACCGGCAGAGGCCCATGTAACTGCTATGCTGCTGACTATGAACTTCAAAAGGAAGGGAGAGACAGGGGTGACCTGGCTTTTGTGTTTTTAGACAAAGAAAGCACCTCTGTTAAAAACAGGCAGAAAGGTTGTATAATACAGTAAGGCTCGGCAGTGCTTCAGATTTGCCCTCCTAGAAGTTCCAACCTTGCAGCTTTGGGAGACTTGAGTTCTAGGCACTGCGCAATCCTGTAGTACAATAAGTAGTCATGCATCTTTCAGACAAAAAAAAAAAACTGATAACTTTTTCATAGTTTTTCATTATTTTATTTCAGATTTTTGTTATGTTATCATTTTCTCTGTTGTTCACAGTTTCCTGTACATACGCATTTACAGAAAATATACGAACACTCAGTGGATAGTTCTAAAACCAAGATGACATTTCAACCCTACATTCATTTTTTTCCAAAGCTGTGGTTGTATCAGTTGTAGCTACATAATTAGAGTCCACTTTCCTCTTCCAACAATCACAAGGAAATACCCCACTTCAGGGCAGTCGGTATAATGGATTCTTCAGTCAGAAGTCTAAGTAATTGCATGAACCTACCGTCTTATGTGGTCCAAATAAAACACTTCAGACATTGCAATATTGGAACCCTGTTACCCAATTTTCAGTCAGTATTTCCAGCAGAGTGTTTCCTCTCCCTTGTAGGAGTATGTACTACTCCTTTGTAGTATTTCAAAGCACAGGCAATTATTCCTCAGAAATACTTCTGCTTTTCACATGTTTTTACTTCCAGAGGTTAAAGACCACAGGCATGAGCCCTTTTTTATGATTGTTAGCAACCTAGAACATCATTTCATCTTAAATAAATAAGATGTCCTTGGGAATTCATAAGCAAGCTCCACTAAGTTCAATGAAGCGGGCTCCTAGCTACCTATGTATAACAGGAAGAGGGAATCTCTGGATCCCAGCCAACTTCACATTCAGCATCCCTGTACCTTTCTCACTGGGAAAAGGTGTGAAAGGAGAGACACCAGCTTGAATGTGCTCTCAAAGGGAACAGCCTCTCCTGTCCTGCAGAAGAAAAATGGGTCTTGAACCAGGCACAAGAGGGCCCACTTTCAGCATTGGCTCCCTGGTGCTTATGTTTGTCCTTCCCTCTCTAAACATCTGTACAACTTGTAATTTGAAGAACAAGTTTGGTTGCAGACAGAGGTTCCATGAAGGACAGAATGATCTTGTTCCTTAGAGCATTCTTTTTGAGAAGTTCCCCATTACCATTATAGACCAAATTTTCATTTTGTGAGCCATTATAGTGCTCATCTTCAAGAAGAGACCAACAGGAGTTATAGTCTCCCCACTCCAATACAATTTTTCCAAATTCCCTTGGAAATTAAAAATGGCAGCTAAGTGGCCCAAAATCGCTGGTGACAAGTCCAATTAGACTTAACTTCTCCAGCACCCTCTCCAATTCTCGGCTTCATGAGCTCTTTCAGCATGTCTTCTATGATGTCACTTGCACTTCCTGGTTCTTCCAGCAGCCCGGTCTTGATGTCTTGCTGCTGCTCTCTGCTCAACTACCCCCTATGTTTCTCAGAGAAGCATGATTCATCAGTGCTCCTGGGTCAGGATTTTCATTGGGGAATAAGTTGTAATGAATTCACAGCGTACTGATTGCAACCCTAAACATTCTGTGTTTCTGAAAAAGAACGACTGTCCTGTGGTTATGGACATACAGCTAAGTAGTTCTATAAGACACCATGATCAGTTCTTCTTACTTAGTTTCTCCTACTGAGTCTAAATTAGTCCTTCTGATATCAAGCTTTTCTGTCAATGTTTATTAAACTGCCATGGAAGTTTACTTAAAATAGCACTGCTATGTTAGGCCCATCTACTCCAATGTCTTGCTCCAAAGCTTCCAGCCCAGATGTCTCCAGGAGAGCAATAGACCCTTCTTGTTCTTCAGCAACTGTTATTTAGAAGTATAACGGCTAGTGCTTATTCTAGAAGTAATGTGTGATCAGTAGTCCATGGCTTATTGACTTGATTGGCTCTTGGATAAGATATCACCTGGGAAATCCAAAACACATCCCAGAAAAAGGCAAGAAAGCTCCATGAGAATGTCCACTGAAGTTTGCCAGGAGATTAGTCCCCACCCCCCATTTCCATTTCAATGCTTATTCATCCAGTTTGAAGTGATTTTCTGGAACTCTTCATCTGTTTTTATCACTTTGAATTATTGTCAAAATAGTGTGGCAAACTTATTGCTCATCCCAAGTTTGTTTAAAAAGCATAAAACCAAAAGTAGAGCCTGGGGAAACTTTGCTTCTTCAATCTCTCCATTATGAAAAACTATCCAACGGTGTTCTTTTCCTTTCTGCTTGTTTGCTACAACCAGTAGTTGTCCTCTCTTGTTTCTTCAAGAACCTTTGGTGATGGATTATCCAAACAATAGACAGTCATGATAAATCCTTTGAAAGAAGAAGTACAAAGTATGAAAACAAATTTACACCTTTGTACACTCAGGAAGAGTGGCAAAGATGCTTCTGCCTAATATCAGCTTTTCTGCTGATCCAAACAGTACTTGTGCCAGCAACAGAGTCCCTCACACGTTGGTGCACAAACACACAACATTTGTGTTAGTCTGTATTTCTTTTTCCATCTCATTCTGTTTCATCATTTGCAAAGGGATGGGAGAGATTTTCAGATACTGTCAGACTTTTTTTAAAAAAAAGTTGGAGATATCCATTCAGGTCTAAAATAGTTAGGTATTTTACAGAACCGAGGACTGAAAGATTTTTTTAAAAACTTCAGATATCTAAAATTAAATACTGGTTAATTTTTTGCAGCTGTAAGAGAAGATGAAAAATGGTTCTAAGCATGTTCCTGAATATGAAATGAAATACAAAATACTTAATTGTAATATTCAGCAACAGTTGGTTTTGTGAATTATTTAAAAATTATGAAAATTTACAAAAGGCACGCATTCATGGGAAATAACTGTATAATACCTTTTGTTTCTCAACAAACTTGCTTTTTAGGAATTAAAACAGTAGCTCTGGTTCACTGGAAGTCAACATAAAACCAGGGTACTTCAGGGGTATCTGTAGGGAAGGGGGTCAAAAAAATCAAAATGAGAGCCACACCATGCAATTGAAGCCTTGCTCTTTAAGAGTGGGTTGCGGTTCCCATTTTGACTTTTTTTTTTTTTAATCCCAGATGCCCCTAGTAAATGTAGTGAATATCTATTTTTATGCCATGGAAGATGTGAATGAAGCACTAAGCTGTTAATCAGTGAAATCCTTTTTGTGTACAGACTGTAACTGGACCCAGGGTTGGTTGGTTGGTTGGTTTTTTAGATTTTTTATCCTGCCTTTATGATTTTTATAAATAATTCAAGGTGGCAAACATACCTAATGTTCCTTCCTCCTCCTATTTACCCCACAACAACCACCTTGTGAGGTGAGTTGGGCTGAGAGAGAGGGACTGGCCCAAAGTCACCAAGCCGGCTTTCATGCCTAAGGTGGGACTAGAACTCACCATCTCCTAGTTTCTAGCCTGGTGCCTTCACTGCTAAACCAAACTGGCTCTTCGTTGAGGGTTTCTGCAAATAATCAAAGGGGTTTGGCCCTCACACAGAGTTCCAGTCAGAACCTTCCAGGGTTTTGAGATTTGGTGGGAGCATTGACCTGCATGCATCATGCCCCTCAATACCCTCCATTTTTCTTCAACCAATGCTGTGGTAGACCTCCTTTTGGTGTTCTCCAAAGCGGTGAGCTCCACAGCAGTATTGAGTTT